GTCTCTCTTCTTGTTTATGTTCTCGTTCTTCTTGTTTCTTTTGCTAGTTCTCGTATTGCTGCCATCAAATATGCTAAGCTGTAGTTTCATTTGCCGCTTCTAGTTCCATCTTTTTTTTTGTCCCACTCCCTGACACCAATTTGTTACACCTCTGTGTTCGTTTGTTAATTTTCCGTAAAAATTATTTCCGAAGAAACTTAAGCGATACAAGTCCTTTCTTAAATAAAACTAGTTTATTCTCTCTCAATACAACTTTGCAATACACTTAATTCCCACAGTCAGTTAACTTAAACAAACGCTATAATTCACAACGAACGATTCACGCGCTTGACTTCAATTGTCCGTCTCTATCTCTGTCTGTAATTCAATTCCATTTTTGCCGTCACTTCTTGGAGGTCTTATATACAATAATACCGCACATCTAGTAAACACTCGAGGTTTCACGATCGGACATGAATTTTCTAGAAGCTCATGACGTATTACTAGCGTCACATGACTTCCGCTGTCGTAACAATATGCTGTTCACTGAGGCTTCGAACTTTCTATAAACTACGCGTGTGACGCTATAGTGTAACAATACTCACTTGAGATAACGAGAAAAATACCGAATATTCGAGTAACGTGAAGGCAACAATATTACTAAAACCTACCACAACAATTAACTACATACACAATGTACGACTCGCACAGTTAAACTAATGCTTTTAAAACAATCAACCTTCAACACCCCTGTCATGAAAACTAAACAATCATTAAATATTAAGTCACAAAATAAATTAAGTAATAAGGCTTACACTAAACAGTCTTGTATATCCAACAAAAACTAATAAACTAAATGCATATTATGGTATAAAATCCTCTTATCTTGACCAGATAGTTAAGATAAATGTAGTGAACACTTTTCTATACGTAGGGTAAATTATTTATCATTTGAACAAAACTCATAAAATTTACAATAAAGTTACTGTTAAACCACATGGCCACAGCTGGATTAGTACTATAACACTTTAATTCGACAAATACCAGAGTTGAAATTTAAAACAACGCATGTAAATAAGTTAAAAAAGAAACATATTTCTGTTTTCACAGAGCCCTCTACACAAAGAAGAAAGAAGAATTGTAATGAAAGAAGAATTTGCACACTGGAGTACACAACCAGGATCCCATGCCCTATGGAACTTGACTATAATTACCAGATAATGTATTGTTGCGTCAGCGAGGTCACGTGACTAGTGTCACGCCACGTTTCTAGAACTATCTTGTTCCTTCGTGAATGCCCTAGCATTTACTAGATATATG